TGGCCCTTTAGTGACTTCCAGTATCTGTATGTGATATCTGATTTTGGCCATACAATCGCCTACCCTTTTTGTCAGAGCCATCTTGCTATCCCAGCTGCCCAGTTATACAGTGGGGAAAAACAGTATTTAGTCAGCCACCAATTGTGCAAGTTCTCCCACTTAAAAAGATGAGAGAGGCCTGTAATTTTCATCATAGGTACACGTCAACTATGACAGACAAATTGAGGAAAAGAAATCCAGAAAATCACATTGTAGGATTTTTAATGAATTTATTTGCAAATTATGGTGGAAAATAAGTATTTGGTCACCTACAAACAAGCAAGATTTCTGTCTCTCACAGACCTGTAACTTCTTCTTTAAGAGGCTCCTCTGTCCTCCACTCGTTACCTGTATTAATGGCACCTGTTTGAACTTGTTATCAGTATAAAAGACACCTGTCCACAACCTCAAACAGTCACACTCCAAACTCCACTATGGCCAAGACCAAAGAGCTGTCAAAGGACACCAGAAACAAAATTGTAGACCTGCACCAGGCTGGGAAGACTGAATCTGCAATAGGTAAGCAGCTTGGTTTGAAGAAATCAACTGTGGGAGCAATTATTAGGAAATGGAAGACATACAAGACCACTGATAATCTCCCTCGATCTGGGGCTTACCAGAACCACACAGGGGGACCTAGTGAATGACCTGCAGAGAGCTGGGACCAAAGTAACAAAGCCTACCATCAGTAACACACTACGCCGCCAGGGACTCAAATCCTGCAGTGCAAGACGTGTCCCCCTGCTTAAGCCAGTACATGTCCAGGCCTGTCTGAAGTTTGCTAGAGTGCATTTGGATGATCCAGAAGAGGATTGGGAGAATGTCAGATGAAACCAAAATATAACTTTTTGGTAAAAACTCAACTCGTCGTGTTTGGAGGACAAAGAATGCTGAGTTGCATCCAAAGAACACCATACCTACTGTGAAGCATGGGGGTGGAAACATCATGCTTTGGGGCTGTTTTTCTGCAAAGGGACCAGGACGACTGATCTGTGTAAAGGAAAGAATGAATGGGGCCATGTATCGTGAGATTTTGAGTGAAAACCTCCTTCCATCAGCAAGGGCATTGAAGATGAAACGTGGCTGGGTCTTTCAGCATGACAATGATCCCAAACACACTGCCCGTGCAACGAAGGAGTGGCTTCGTAAGAAGCATTTCAAGGTCCTGGAGTGGCCTAGCCAGTCTCCAGATCTCAACCCCATAGAAAATCTTTGGAGGGAGTTGAAAGTCCGTGTTGCCCAGCCACAGCCCCAAAACATCACTGCTCTAGAGGAGATCTGCATGGAGGAATGGGCCAAAATACCAGCAACAGTGTGTGAAAACCTTGTGAAGACTTACAGAAAACGTTTGACCTGTGTCATTGCCAACAAAGGGTATATAACAAAGTATTGAGAAACGTTTGTTATTGACCAAATACTTATTGTCCACCATAATTGCAAATAAATTCATTAAAAATCCTACAATGTGATTTTCTGGATTTCTTTTTTCCTCATTTTGTCTGTCATAGTTGACGTGTACCTATGATGAAAATTACAGGCCTCTCTCATCTTTTTAAGTGGGAGAACTTGCACAATTGGTGGCTGACTAAATACTTTTTTTCCCCACTGTACCTAGGCGAGACCCAAAGAAGATGCAGTGCACTTAGTAAAACTCCCTGTCAATAGAATGTTAATACACTGGGTTAGTGTGTGTGTGTGTGTGTGTGTGTGTGTGTGTGTGAGAGAGAGAGAGAGTTTGTGTGTGATGGGACAAAGGGAGCATTATGCATGTTCAGGAGGAGAGGAGAGGGGGAAGAGAAGAGGCAGATAGCGCTCCGGAGAAAGAGAGTTCTTCTACTCGCTATCATATGAACACCCAACTATGGGTCATATGATGAGCAGCACGGAGAAAGTGTGTGTGTGGGGGTTAGTCGGTGTTTGTGTAGTGTGTTTGCGTAAGTCATTAGGAAAAGGTGGTGAGGTTCTAGGGATGGATGTTAGGTATTATGCTTTTATGATAGTTAATATCATTTCTGTGCATGATGTGCAGCCTTGTGTTTAGTGCTGTTGACAAATTAAGTCTCTATACCCCCTCCCAGCCCCCTTGTTCAGTCCAGGCTTCATGTAGCCTAATGCTCTTATTAGATTTACTGTGAAGAAGTCTGTGCCTTTACTGCCTTTCAGACCCTTCTCCATACCTTCCCACGGTCCAAATAGTTTTCTGTCGGAGGGAGGGGGGGAGGGAGGGAGGGAGGAGGGGAGGGGGGAGGGAGGGAGGGGGAAGGGCGGGAGGGAGGGAGGGGAGGGAGGAGGGGGGAGGGGAGGGAGGGAGGGAGGGAGGGGAGGGAGGGAGGGAGGGAGGGGAGGGATGGGAGGGAGGGAGGGAGGGGAGGGAGGGAGGAGGGAGGGCGGGAGGAGGGAGGGAGGGAGGGAGGGAGGGAGGGCAGGAGGGAGGGGGAGGGAGGGAGGGAGGAGGGAGGGAGGGGAGGGAGAGGAGGGAGGGAGGGAGGGAGGGAGGGAGGGAGGGAGGGGCGTGAGGGGGAGGGAGGGAGGGAGGGAGGGAGGGAGGGAGGGAGGAGGGAGGGAGGGAGGGAGGGAGGGAGGGAGGAGGGAGGGAGGGAGGGAGGGAGGGGGGAGGGAGGGAGGGAGGGAGGGAGGGAGGGAGGGAGGAGGGAGGGAGGTAGGGAGGGGAGGGAGGGAGGGAGGGGCGGAGGGCAGGGTGGGGCGGAGTAGGGATGGAGGAGGGAGGGAGTGTGGCGGGAGGGAGGTGAGGGAGTGTCGTTATTTGGATGCTGGAGTTATGTGGGAGTTCTTTATTTCTTCTTCTTATCTTCTTTCGTTTTTCTTCTTTCTTTCTTTCTTTCTTTCTTTCTTTCTTTCTTTCTTGCTTTCTTTCTTCTTTTGTTCTTTCTTTCTTTCTTTCTTTCTTTCTTTCTTGCTTGCTTGCTTGCTTGCTTGCTTGCTTGCTTGCTCTCTCGCTAGGCTTATGCTTTCATAACCATTTGAACAGGGCCTTGACTAAGCCTACAGCCAAAACGTTTTGTTTTATATCAGTGTAGGCAATTAAGCAGGTCACATAGACATTCATTCTCAGAGTGCCTTTGGCCTAACTTACATCTGCTCTTTGACACATAGAAAGTGGCGTTCATGTAGAGAAGAGCCTATTTGTTCCAGTAGGCCTCCGGCGGAGCAGGGGTCTCGGGTGTTTCTCTCCACCAGCAGATGACTGCTCATCCCAGCCGACAGGCTGGCCGAGCTCCATGATCACAAGACTCAAGACTGTGTTTTACGTGTGTCTGGCTAATGAGTGCAAACTTTAGTTCTAGCCTAGTGTTATAACACAAGATTCAACTCAGTCTAGTGTCAGGTGTGTTAGAGCTGGGCTAGGACAAAATCCTGCAACACTGCTCTAACAGGTCTCTATTAACAGTCACAGGCTTGTTCAGCCAAAGCTGCTGGTTCAACTCTCTTACTGTACGTTTATAATAAGCTAGGCGATATGCAGTTCAGTGTGTGTGTGTGTGTGTTTCTCTCAATCCCATGGAAAATTGTTGATGTGAATTTTTCCCTTGATCTGATAGAAGTTATTGAGATCTAACCTACAACAAGAATAATAGCTGCGCAGTAAGGCACACAGGCAGACGGGTGGGTTTTGTCCCATTGATCTCAGTCCAGATCTATGAGTTAGTGAGGCCTTACAGAGCTGTCCCTAGAGTCTCTCCCCATTCACCTCTTCTTTCTCTGTCCCTAGTCTCTCCCCATTTATCTCTTCTCTCGCTCTGTCACTGAGTAGTGAGTGACACTAAGGAACACAGGAAGTGTTGACAGGAGGAATCTCGCATGAACATGATGCATACAGCTCACCCTCCTGTCTGTTGGCTAGAGGTCAATGACCTTTCTTACAAGTACTTAAAGGTCCAATGCAGCTGTTTTAATCTCAATATGAAATCATTTCTGGGTAACAAGTACCTTACTATGATTGTTTTCAATTAAAATGGTCAAAAAGAAAGCAAGAATTTTGCTAGGACTGTCTGAGTGGGGCGGGGAAAACTGAAAACTAGCTGGTATTGGCAGAGAGGTTTGGAACATTCTTATTGGTCTATTAACTAATTGACCACCTGGTAATGTCACCAGGCAGGCCAAAACACCATCCTACCAAAACAGGCTGTCTTTTCAAACAGCTCTTACACTAAAAGGGCATTATCATAATTTTTACAATTTCACAGTATTATTGCAACCTCATAGTGTGGAAATATACAGGTAACTGGCTAAATAAAGGCAACGCCAACATAAAGTATCTTTATTTATTTATATATATATATATATATATATATTTACCCACTTTTTCTCCCCAATGTTGATCTTTTCTCATCGCATCTTAATAGGGTGTTGGGCCACCACGAGCCAGAACAACTTCAATGTGCCTTGGCATAGATTCTACAAGTGTCTGGAACTCTATTGGAAGGATGCAACACCATTCTTCAATGAAAAATTTGATCATTTGTGGTTTTGTTGATGGTGGTGGAAAATGCTGTCTCAGGCGCTGCTCCAGAATCTCCCATAAGTGTTCAATTGGGTTGAGATCTGGTGATTGAGACGGCCATGCCATATGGTTTACACCATTTTCATGCTCATCATTCAGTGACCTCTCGTGCCCTGTGGATCGGGGCATTGTCATCTTATGGGGCCATTGTAGTCAAAATAATGGCCTGCCCAGCATTTTTATACATAACCCTACGCATGATGGGATGTTATTTGCTTAATTATCTCAGGAACCACACCTGTGTGGAAGCACCTGCTTTCAATATACTTTGTATCCCTCATTTACTCAAGTGTTTCCATTTATTTTGGCAGTTACCTGTGCATGAAACACAGGAAAATCACGTTTATGAAAGCATTGGGGCTTTAAGATACACAGGCACATGCCATTGTGTTATTCACAGTGTTTTAATATTTCTCTTTTTCTGTCTCTGTAGAGGTACATGGTGTTTGAGGACAGTCAGGAGACGGAGAAGAAGGACCTTCAGAGTCGACTGGTAATGCTGGAGTCACACACACGTCAAATGGAGCTCAAGACCAGGAACAACTCGGACCAGAGTGAGTCAATCAATCAATCATTGTGGCTTCTAGGACTGGAGCTGTGAACCCTAATGGAAGGAATACTGAGAAAGACATTACAAGTGAAGGGCTCAGGAATGTGCATCACTGGGGGCTGGAAGAACAATATATTTACTGGGTTATACTGTATCCGCAGGCCATAGAAACAAACAACCCACATGATGCTGCCAAACACAGCCTCACGAACCGTGGGAAGGTCATTACATAAGGAATAAACTCACAAGGTGATAAATAGTTTAATGTTGGAGGTGTCTGTGTAAGTGCAGTCTATAAGGGAGTCTTGAATGGAGAATTTAATTTAATTTTGCAATCATTGCATCACACCTCGAACTCAGTTTATTCTGGTCTGCTGAGTTGGTGTTTGACTGTGAACTAGAAGGACTCTGATTGGGTTAAGCAGCCACTTTATGGGTTTCTGCCAGCTGACCTTGACTGAGTACACGCACGCATCACCTGACTTGACATTCAATAGTGCTCACAGCCAAGTCCACAGTCCTTGTTCTTTCCAATTGGGGTTTCTCTCTCTTCCACTTTCACCACATCTTTCTTTTTCTTTTCTTTCACTTTCAGTTCTTTCTTACTTGAACAGTTTTCATTCTCTCTGTCTTCTCTCTCCTTAAACTAGATCGGGAGAGGCATAGCAGTAATACTCTTGTGTTGAGTCATTTAGATGTGGAAACTAGGCTAGCTCATAGTTCATATTGCTCAGCAGGTGTGTGTGTAGACTGTAGATGATGAACTGTACAGATATAGTATACCGCAAGCCGTAAACATACAGTACTTCCGCTTCCCAATACACACGTTTTACTATCCTTGTGGGGACCTAAAATTGATTTCCTTTCAGAATCGTATTTACCTTATCCCCTAACCCTAATTGTAACCCTAAACCTAACCCCTAAGCCAAAAATAACCTTTGTCCTCGTGAGGAACTGGGAAGTGTCCCCACAAGGGAGGATAGTACCCACGAGGATATTAATACAAGCCCACACACACCAGGTGGTTTCCTAAAGGGTTATTTCTGTCTGTACATTCTCTAGTTGGTTCCTCATTGTCTACTGGTAGTCACTAGTCATGGTAACAAATAACTTACAAATCACATAGCCAGCTGAGCTAAGTCCTAGGCATTCACTAAACCACCTACGACTGTCTTGAGTTTAAAGCCTGACCTAACAAGTCTCTTTTCTATTCGTCTGAATCAAATCCCTGTCCTATGTCTCATTCTACTAAAAGCCAACGCCAAAAATCCAGTGACAACAGTCTGGTGTTGTTAGCCAGGCTACCATAGAGAAATGTGGAGGTAGCAGATGATATTAGATAACTGTGTTGGCAGTTAGTGACTAACTCCTGATGCTGTGTTGGGAGGGTCATTGTCAATGAGCAGATGGTAGGCCTGCTTGGGTTAGTGTCTCAATCTCACACAAATCAAATTGTATTTGTTTCATGCGCCGAATACAACAAGTGAAGACCTTACCGTGAAATGCTTACTTAAAAGCCTTTAACCAACAATGCAGTTCAAGAAATAGAGTTAAGAAAATATTTACTAAATAGACTAAAGTAAAAAATAAAAAGTAACACAATAAAATTACATAACAATAACGAGGCTAGATACAGGGGGTACCAGTACCGAGTCAATGTGCGGGGGTACAGGTTAGTCTAGGTAGTTTGTACATGTAGGTAGGGGTAAAAGGACTATACTCTGCCTTTGTGAGAGGATATGGTTAGGCTGGGCAATCATCTGCATGTACACACACAGAATGTTGTCAGGGTGTTTTCACTATAAACAGTCCATGCCAGCCAAGTTGCCAACACAGTGGATTAAGTAACAGGGCTCAGAGCTATGTTTTACTGAAATAGAGTAGATTCTAATGTCTGTTTCTAGTGTGTTTGGGTTGTAGCTTGTGCATTTTAATCTTAAAGGTTAAACATGGCTTCCGAGTGTGTGTGATGACTGGACGAAATGGCTTAGAATTCCTAACGTTTTCCATAGATTATGGCTATTCAGTGACCCATAACCCAAAATATTTGAGTGTTTGAGCCAGCCACTGTATTTTACTAGTGTGCGAATGACACCTGGTGGTCATACATTGCTACTACAACTGACAGCAGTTTAATATTTTTTATTTTTTTTATTTCACCTTTATTTAACCAGGTAAGCCAGTTGAGAACAAGTTCTCATTTACAACTGCGACCTGGCCAAGATAAAGCAAAGTAGTGCAATAAAAACAACAGAGTTACATATGGGGTAAAAAAACATAAAGTCAGAAAATACAACAGAAAATATATATACAGTGTGTGCAAATGTAGCAATATAGTACTTGGTTTCTCATCTGAAGCCTCAGCCATGTTCAGTTCGAAAAAAAATCACTACAGCTGACATGATTCCTTATTCTAAATACCAAAGAGGTATGTCTGTTCTATATCATACATTTCTATCTGAACGTTGGCCAACGTTGTGTCCTGCTAAACTTGACCCTGGTATGGGACAGATATTACTGATGGGCATCAGTAATTGGACCGTGCTCCCACCCATCCAGGACATCACTCGAAACGGTGCCTGAGGAAGGCACGCAGCATCAAGGATCCCACATACCCCAGCCATGAGCTGTTCTCTCCCTTACCGTCGGGTAGACTGTATCGGAGCATGAGGTCTGATACCAACAGGCTCAGAGACAGTTTCTATCTACAAGCCATCAGACTGCTGAACACTTGAACTGGACTGACCACATGCTCTGATTCGCCGCACCTTAGCACACATGTACTCACTCATGCATACACCCACACATATATATTCATGCTACACACACATCACAACTGCAGCTGCCAGACACTAATTATATGGCTCAGTTTATATACACTGCCCCACACCCCCCCTTCCCCAATACACTTGTAAATATTGGCCTATAAATTGCAGTTGTAAATATTGGCCTATAAATTGCAGTTGTAAATATTGGCCTATAAATTGTGCGAACCTGTATTATAGTTATGCTAAAATGTTTATTCTATTCTACTGAGCCATTTACTTTATTCGTATTCTTATTGTTGTTGCATTGTCGAAGGAACCTGCAAGTAAGCATTTCGTTGGACAATGTATACCATGCATATCCCGTACATACGACTAATAAAACTTGAAACTTGGTCACTGACAGATATTACTAATGTTCCAAGATTGCATTAAAGCGATACTCAGGATTCTGGCAATGAAGCCCTTTATCTACTTCCCCAGAGTCAGATGAACTCATGGAAACCATCTGCATCCAGTATGAAATTAGAGGTGGTTTCATGAGCTAATGGTATCCACGAGTTCATCCGACTCTGGGGAAGTAGATAAATGGCTTCATTGCCAAAATCCTGAGTATCCCTTTAACTTTGAACTGTACACAAAAGTGAACTTCTTAATAGGGTCATTCAACATTTGATTTCAATAACCTTTTGACTGCACCTCTTGATTTGAATGACTCTTTCCATACATATTTGCCCATGGTAGAAGTGGTCAGAAAATTACTTTTTGGACCTGAATGCCAAAACATTCAGTAGATAGGTGCTCAAAGTTTAACCATTTTGCATACCCCACCATACTATGAGACATCCATGTCTTCATCACTGGAGAAGTTTAACGGTTGCGATTGATATCATTTAAAAAGATTACAAACAGGGTTGTCAAATTATTTTATAATTTCTTTAGGTTATTGTCGTGCTGAAAGGTGAATTTGTCTCCCAGTGTGTGTTGGAAAGCAGACTACACCAGGTTTTCCTATAGGATTTGGCCTTTGCTTAGCTGTATTCCATTTATTTTTATCCTAAATTCCCTATTCCTTGCCAATGACCCATAACATGATGCAACCACCACCATGCTTGAAAATAAGAGGTGTTACTCAGTGATGTTGGATTTGCCCCAAACATAAGGCTTATATTCTTTGCCACATTTGTTGCAGTATTACTTAAGTGCCTTGTTCCAAACAGGATGCATGATTTGGAATATATTGTATTCTGTACAGGCTTCCTTGTTTTCACACTGTCATTTAGGTTAGTACTGTGGAGTAACTACAATGTTGTTGATCCATCCTCATTTTTTTCATATCACAACCATTAAACTCTGTAACTGTTTTAAAATCACCATTGGCCTCATGGTGAAATCCCTGAGCAGTTTCCTTCCTCTCCGACAACTGAGTTAGGAAGGAGGCCTGTATCTTTATAGTGACACTGGGTGTATTGATTAGGGCTGTCCCTGAAAAAAAATATATAAAATACATGTTAAATCGTGTATTTTTCCATATATAGACACACCCTATGTGTTTAAAAAAATCAACTATATGCTTGTCTGATGCTGTTTGATGAAATAAGATACAAATGACTCAATAGGGAAGAGATCAAGAGAACCTTAACCTGACCCCGACCATCTTCCTCCCGCTCCTGCTGGCTTTCGCAGATTCTGCCATTACTCTCCTGAAGTTGCCGGTAATAGGCTACATGAGGAGTCGGAAACCTTTCTCATGTGGAATGCCAATTTGTCTTACAATTTCTACTGATCTGTGTGCCAGTTATGGTTTTCATATGCACATTTTCATGGAACAGTTTCATTTAATTTATAATAACGTCTTCGTATCTCAAAATCATTGTCATGTGGTTAATCAACATTCTATCCAAATCTTAATGAAAATGATACAAACCTAAAAAGTAACTTCTATTGCCAACTATGTAAAAATAACCTACATAAAGCCAACAAATAAAAACATTGCAGCCTGCAGGTAGAAAATATCCTGATTTAAAAATAAATATCCTATAAATCACATTGGCTAAGCATGGCCTGTCAACTATCAACTTGGATCCAGCCGAAAGCTCCTGCTAGCAAACTTGCAACAATGTATAAAATATTCTGGGCCCTCAGTTTCCTGCACCAGTGAGATCAGGACAGACACAGCTGTAGGCTATTTTGCGCAAGGGATAAGAGCTCATCAGGTAGGCCTATTTTATGACGTTTCCACTGGATCAGAGCATTACATTTTTCCCTTTCACGCTGAGTGGTTATCGAAAGGGAGAGAACTGAATTTTTTCTCTCAATACATTAAGGAGCTATTGTCATTCTCAATGGATGTAAAAATACTTTGTTTGCTTGCTGTTTTGAGGTGAAGAAAACATTACTTTGAGAAGCTCCACAGCTCATTAGTGGTGGTGCGTTAAGCCAATCAGAAATACTATCAGATCCCCAAATGGGCACATTTATATGCCTACATTTATATGCCTACATTTATATGCCTACATTTGCGCGCAGGCCAGGTAGCCTATAGGCCTACTTCTATGCGTAATCAAGTGCGCGTCCTTACTCAACATTGACAGTAGCGTTCCAAACAAAAGACAATGATTTAAATTGACAACCCGTAAATGGAATGAAATAAACCAAAACTTGTTTCAAACAAGTGTAACAGGTTGTGCGCTCTGCAAACAAAGTGTCCACTCTGACGAGAACGGTAAAATACTGGAATAATAATATATTGAACGCATTAACAGAAATTACCACGACCAAACAAACGTTGTAGATTAGAAATGATAGGAATTAACGGTAAATGTAGGCTACTACTAGTGATATATGGAATGGGGAATTGATAGACACTAACAATCAAGGAAAACAATTCACACAAAGTTATGAAACAATGAATGTGCACAAATTGGCAGGAGACAGCGCATTCTGGAGAGACGTGCATTGTGCATTTTAGCCACACTCCCCTTCTTCTATGCCATCCACGCGGCCTCCGCAATGGATTGGTCTCAGCCTTCGCAATGGATTAGTTTACTGAGATGGGCGCGAATCAGACAGGTGTATCGTGTGCCATAAAAAATATATATATATATATTTGTTACTGCTCGACTAAAATAAAATCTCAGTTGACCAACAGCCTATCGACCAAACAATCGACCAGTCGACTAATTAGGGTCAGCCATAGTATTGATACACCATTCAAAGCCTAATTAATAACTTCACCATGCTCAGGGATATTCAGTGTCTGCTTTTTTTAAATTTTCATTTATTTTGAAGACCTTTCAATCGGTGCCCTTCTTTGCAAGGCATTGGAAAACCTCCCTGGTCTTTGTGGTTGAATGTGTGCTTGAAATTCATTACTCGATTGAGGGACCTTACAGATAATTGTATGTGTGGGGTACAGATATGGGGTCGTCATAAAAAAAAGTCATGTTAACCACTATTATTGAACACAGAATGAGTCCTTGCAACGTGTTATGTGATTTGTTATACATTTTTACATTTTAGTCATTTAGCAGACGCTCTTATCCAGAGCGACTTACAGGAGCAATTAGGGTTAAGTGCCTTGCTCAAGGGCACATTTACGTCATTTAGCAGACGCTCTTATCCAGAGCGACTACAAATTGGTGCATTCACCCTATAGCCAGTGGGATAACCACTTTACAATTATACTTTTTTTTTGGGGGGGGGGGGTAGAAGGAATTATAAGCACCTTTTTACTCCTGAACGTACTTAGGCAAGCCATAACAAAGGGTTTGAATACTCAAGACATTTCAGCTGTTCATTTTTAAAAAATGAATTTGTAAAAAAAATATAAAAACAAAATTCCACTGTCAATATAGGGTATTGTGTGTAGATCAGTGACACACAATCTCAATTTAATTCATTTTAAATCCTGGCTGTAACAACAAAATGTGGAAAGGGGGATACCTAGTCAGTCCCACAACTGAATGCATTCAACAGAAATGTGTCTTTCGCATTTAACCCAACTCCTTAATCTCGACGTCCACGTCATCAGTGCCCGGGGAGCAGTTGTTAATTGGGGGTTAACTGCCTTGCTCAAGGGCAGAACCGCAGATTTTTTCCACCTTGCCGGCTCGGGGATTCTAACCAGCGACCTTTTGGTTACTGGCCCAACGCTCTTAACCCATAGGAGTTTTACGTAATCTATCACAAGACATCTAGTGGCCCTTTTGGGTACTTTTGCAATTATCTCTGGCCCTCTGTGTGGCCTTATCACATGTAAAATATATGAAATAATTAAATAAGATTATTTTTTAATTTAAAAACAATTGAATGACAAAGCTGTAAAACATTATCCTAAATATAAACCTAGTGAATACCATTGGTGTTTTAAATGAGGGTTTCAGCATGAAATATCCATTAGTAAAATAAATGTGTAATCTTTTTTTTATGTCTATGTATTTGCTGTCAATGTTTTGCATCAAACTGGTGGCCGTTGTGGAAACAAAATTCAATAGTTGGACGAGTTGAAGAGGTGATTTGAAAATAATGCCATTGTTGATTAGATGCTTTTTTCATTAATAAGGCAATTTTCTCTTGAACCATATGGTCTATCTACTAGAAACTAATGGACAGTGGACACAGATATAACAAATACATACTATATATGAATACATTTTAAAAAAAGTAAATAAATTACCAAAGTTACAATAGATTGCCATAGATTTTCTGCTTATTTCCAAAATTACTGAAGATTCCGTTAACTTTCGCTAATTACCGGTAGCTTTGCAACCCTAGGAATTACCCTATAACAGTTTTTTAGGGTTCTTTTCCCTCATTGACCATATAGTTCTGTTTGACTGAGATCACACGTCTAACTGTTCTCTCTTTCAGTTGGCAGATTGGAGGAACGAGAAGCCGAGCTGAAGAAGGAGTACAATGCCCTCCACCAGAGACACACAGAGGTATGGGGGAGGAGGGGGGAGTGTGTTTGTGTATTTAAGTCCGTGTTGGGACTGTTCCATTGTAGGCCTACTGGGCAAACTATATACTGAACAAAAATATATAAACGCAACATGTAAAGTGTTGGTCCCATGTTTCAGGAGCTGAAATAAAAGATCCCAGAAATTTTCCATATGCACAAAAAGCTTATTTATCTCAAATTTTGTTCACAAATTTGTTTACATTCCTGTTAGTGAGCATTTCTCCAAAGCATTTCTGCAAAGATAATCCATCCACCTGACAGGTGTGGCATATCAAAAAGCTGATTAAATGGCATGATCATTACACAGGTATACCTTGTCCTGGGGACAATAAAAGGCCACTGTAAAATGTGCGGTTTTGTCACACAACACAATGCCACAGATGTCTCAAGTTTTGAGGGAGCGTGCAATTGGCATGCTGACTGCAGTAATGTCCACCACAGCTGTTGCCAGATAATTTAATGTTAATTTCTCTACCATAAGCCGCATCCAACATCGTTTTAGAGAATTTGGCAGTACATCCAACCGGCCTCACAACCGCAGACCACGTGTAACCACGCCATCCCAAGACCTCCACATCCAGCTTCTTCACCTGCGCCGCTGCCCAGTCATGTGAAATCCATAGATTAGGCCCTAATTTATTTATTTCAATTGACTGATTTCCTTATATGTACTGTAACTCTTTGTTCAGTAGAAATCACGTAAAACTCAGGGCCTCCCGAGTGGCGCATCGGTCTAAGGCACTGCATCGCAGTGCTAGAGGCGTCACTACAGACCCGGGTTCGATCCCAGGCTGTGTCATTACCGGGAGTCCCATAGGGCGGCGCACAATTGGCCCAGCGTCGTCCGGGTTAGGGGAGGGTTTGGCCGGGGGGGCTTTACTTGGCTCATCACGCTCTAGCGACTCCTTGTGGCCGGGCGCCTTCAGGCTGACATCGGTCGTCAGTCGAACAGCTGGCTTCTGGGTTAAGCTCCTGTGAGTCGCTCTGGATAAGAGCGTCTGCTAAATGACTAGATTGTATGTATAATATGTTTTAGACATAGGTTGGCATGATGTTTGACCCACAGTGAACAAAGACAAGACTGCTATTTCCAGCTTACATTCAGGGAATTCAAACTACAACAGAGGACGGAGGGAGGGGAAGGGAGGGAGAGATAAGGATGGTGAGGGATGGAGAATGCAAGATGCAGGAGAGAGGAAGGAGAAAGAGGGAGTTAGAATTGGGTCAGTTTAAGGAGATTTGGAGCAATTATCCCAACATTAAGTACAGTGGGGAAAAAAAGTATTTAGTCAGCCACCAATTGTGCAAGTTCTCCCACTTTAAAAAGATGAGAGAGGCCTGTAATTTTCATCATAGGTACACGTCAACTATGACAGACAAAATGAGAAATAAAAATCCAGAAAATCACATTGTAGGATTTTTTATGAATTTATTTGCAAATTATGGTGGAAAATAAGTATTTGGTCAATAACAAAAGTTTCTCAATACTTTGTTATATACCCTTTGTTGGCAATGACACAGGTCAAACGTTTTCTGTAAGTCTTCACAAGGTTTTCACACACTGTTGCTGGTATTTTGGCCCATTCCTCCATGCAGATCTCCTCTAGAGCAGTGATGTTTTGGGGCTGTCGCTGGGTAACACGGACTTTCAACTCCCTCCAAAGATTTTCTATGGGGTTGAGATCTGGAGACTGGCTAGGCCACTCCAGGACCTTGAAATGCTTCTTACGAAGCCACTCCTTCGTTGCCCGGGCGGTGTGTTTGGGATCATTGTCATGCTGAAAGACCCAGCCACGTTTCATCTTCAATGCCCTTGCTGATGGAAGGAGGTTTTCACTCAAAATCTCACGATACATGGCCCCATTCATTCTTTCCTTTACACGGATCAGTTGTCCTGGTCCCTTTGCAGAAAAACAGCCCCAAAGCATGAAGTTTCCACCCCCATGCTTCACAGTAGGTATGGTGTTCTTTGGATGCAACTCAGCATTCTTTGTCCTCCAAACACGATGAGTTGAGTTTTTACCAAAAAGTTATATTTTGGTTTCATCTGACCATATGACATTCTCCCAATCCTCTTCTGGATCATCCAAATGCACTCTAGCAAACTTCAGACGGGCCTGGACATGTACTGGCTTAAGCAGGGGGACACGTCTGGCAATGCAGGATTTGAGTCCCTGGCGGCGTAGTGTGTTACTGATGGTAAGCTTTGTTACTTTGGTCCCAGCTCTCTGCAGGTCATTCACTAGGTCCCCCCGTGTGGTTCTGGGATTTTTGCTCACCGTTCTTGTGATCATTTTGACCCCACGGGGTGAGATCTTGCGTGGAGCCCCAGATCGAGGGAGATTATCAGTGGTCTTGTATGTCTTCCATTTCCTAATAATTGCTCCCACAGTTGATTTCTTCAAACCAAGCTGCTTACCTATTGCAGATTCAGTCTTCCCAGCCTGGTGCAGGTCTACAATTTTGTTTCTGGTGTCCCTTGACAGCTCTTTGGTCTTGACCATAGTGGAGTTTGGAGTGTGACTGTTTGAGGTTGTGGACAGGTGTCTTTTATACTGATAACAAGTTCAAACAGGTGCCATTAATACAGGTAACGAGTGGAGGACAGAGGAGCCTCTTAAAGAAGAAGTTACAGGTCTGTGAGAGCCAGAAATCTTGCTTGTTTGTAGGTGACCAAATACTTATTTTCCACCATAATTTGCAAATAAATTCATTAAAAATCCTACAATGTGATTTTCTGGATTTTTTTTTCTCAATTTGTCTGTCATAGTTGACGTGTACCTATGATGAAAATGACAGGCCTCTCTCATCTTTTTAAGTGGGAGAACTTGCACAATTGGTGGCTGACTAAATACTTTTTTTCCCCACTGTATGTTGTCATGTTGCCTCAACTCAGTCTGCCTAAAGTCTGTTCTCCATAATGTATTACTAACACATTGGCTGAGACGCCAAAACAAACAAGCCTGCATAGAGACCATGACATTTAAATATGGACGGAAACTAGATTTTAGCTCACACACACACAAACACACGGTGACAGCTGAATACCCCACAGGCCAGGAGGCTGTCTGTTCCAGCTGTACATCGACACAAAAACCTCATCTAAGAAACAGCAGGCATCATGGCCATGTTCAAATCGTTTTTTGAATAGGGCCACTCCCTGTCCACGCTAACCCCCCGTCTCACTGTGTGGTATGTCCCATGCAGATGATCCACAGCTACATGGAGCACTTGGAACGTACCAAACACCAGCAGCATGCGCCGGTGCAGGAGGCACCTTCAGACACAAGCAGATCACGGTAAGATCATACATACAACTCTTAAAGTCACATTCCAATATCACTGTGTGTACAGTATCTGCAGTTGTACACAAACACTCTCATATAGCAGTGCTTCCCTAGTACATTGCTGGCTCGTGGCCAGTTCATCCTGGGTACTGTGTAGGTCAGTGGAGGCTGCTGAGGGGAGGACGGCTCATAATAATGGCTGGAACGGAGCGAATGGAATGGCATCAAACACCTGGAAACCATGTGTTTGATGTAGTTGATACCATTCCACTGATTCCGCTCCAGTCATTACCACGAGCCCGTCCTCCCCAATTAAGGTGCCACCAACCTCCTGTGGTGTAGGTGTTTGTATTTTATTATACAGCTTCCCTAGAAGTATGGCACATTAACATTCATTGGCTTAGTTGGCTCCTCACCCTGGCTCAGTGTGTTTTTGAGAGAGTAAGTTGATGTGCAGGCACCACTCCTACGCTCTCTGCTCTCCATAGGCACTATTTCCATGTAGGTCAGAACCTGACAGAAGATGAGAGATGTGAGGTAGGGATGAGAGGATGGGAAGGGAAAGGAAAGGAAAGGGGGGGGAGTAGAGTAGAGGAGGGGATCGGAGGAGAGGATGATATGAGTTGAAGTGGGGGGAGGAGGATGAAGAGGAGATTGGGATAGAGATTGAGTAGGACTATGCCATGGAATCAGCTGTATTTAAATCAGCCAGAGGTCTGTCAGTGGTCAGCTGCAGTAATCCCACAGTGGGATGGTGATGAGTGATTCAGAGCTGTAGTGTTTTTGTCAGCTGATCAGATTAGTGAGTGAAACAGCAGTAAAAGGAGGTCATGGTCTCCCGCTGGGCAAACCTTCATTTTGAACAGTGTAGCTTTTTAGATTTAAGCAGCATTTGTGTTTGTGTTCACAGTTTGTGTTCACAAGGCACTCATTTGTGATTTCTGCGTTTTCCCTAACAGAAGTGTGGTACATTATTTATTAGCTTTGTGTGTAGCAGCAGCCCTCTACAGTCTCTCAGTAGCAGCAGACGCTGTCAGTTCCTCCTCCCAGTCTCTCCATGGCTCAGCCAATCAGCATCGAGCTGAGGGGAGGCATATGTTACCAGCTCTGATGCTGCCTCAGCATCCGAAAGGGAGGGGAGAGAAAGCGAGGGTGAGAGCGACGGCGACAATTCTAGACTGCACAGCGACATCAGTGTCGCAGCTTAGGAAAGACAAAAGAGTAAGCGGGAGTATCGTCTGCCAGAAAGAGGATACAATACATCAAGAAAAGAGAGGCGAGGAGAAGGCTGCTGCAAAGCCAGTGTCCACCCTCTTTCTCTCGCTCTCTCTGGATGATGTCACAGCAGTGTTGAACTGAAGCCGGCATCACTCTACAGTAGCAGCTGCTGTCTCTCTCTGCCACAGCTGCTGCTGCTCATGGGATTACTGCTGCTGTTGTTTCTGTGGCCGTTGCTCGTTGGCCCGCTGGTCTGAACACACATAGCGCCACACCCCGCCACACACTACTCTACTCTACTCTACTCTCCAGCCTGAGTTCCAGATCTCCTGTACCTGAGCATTCTTCTCTTCACCAGACGGCAACAGAGTGTGTATGTGAGGAGTACTTTGTCGACAGAGGGAGAAGAAGTATAATCTACTTTGCACCGTCATCCAGGGACAGTTTGTAAAAGCTCCAGAGGCGTGTGTTTTAGGGTTACCCCCACACCCGCTGGCGGTCGCCCCCCTCCCCTGGTCCCGGCAGTGAGGGGCGCTGGGCCATGTTCAGGGGGGGCCATGAGCCCGAGGTGTATGCTGCTGTTTGTCTTTGGCTTCGTTGGAGGGGCCGTTGTTATTAACTCTGCCGTGCTGGTGTCTCTGTCTGTCCTGCTGCTGGTGCACTACTCTGTCTCTACTGCCCTCCCTGCCCTGCCCACCCTGCCACGGCCCAGCAGGTACTGTGTGTGTGTGTGTGTGTGTGTGAGAGACCCGAAACACAGCCTACTGTAAGTCACCCCCACTCCTGCAGGTAACTCTCTGTGAAAGGGATGGGTGTGTTTGTTTACCTCCTTTCTCTCTTCTCCATGTCCTGTCCTCTTTTCCATGTCCTGTCCTCTTCTCCATGTCCTGTCCTCTTCTCCATGTCCTGTCCTCTTCTCCATGTCCTGTCCTCTTCTCCATGTCCTGTCCTCTTCTCCATGTCCTGTCCTCTTCTCCAATCTCTTCTAGTTCTCTCTGCTCCTACCATCTCCTCTCATTTCCTCCTTTCTTCACTCTTTCCATTCTCTGCTTCAATCACCTGTTATTTTATATGGTTGCTTACCCCTCCGATTGACTCCATCTCATCCCTCTTCCCCTTGCTTGTTTACTTGGCGTGGGGTAAAGCCCAGTTGCCATGCTTTTAACATGTGGTTACCATGCTGTTGCTGTGTTGGAGACAGCCAGGCAATATGGTTATGCAGGCTGAAAGTAGGTCCAGAGAAAGAACCTCCTCAGCCAGTAAATCACAGCAATACTCATATCCATGATAACATTTGTTATCTTATTTGTTTTAATTTATCCTTTATTTATACAGTTGATCCCATTGAGGGAAAAAAATGATCCTTTGCAAGAGGGACCTGTCAAAGCTGTATGCTATTTTTGGTTTAAAACCAACCTTAAGGAGATTTATTTGAGAGTTGAAAAAAATAGCTGCTCTCCAATTTATGTCAAAATGTCAGGCAGTGACAGTGAACATTGTTGCCCTAAGTTTGACCTCTGAGCCCTCTCCCTGTCTCTCTCTCTCCGTCTCTCTCTCTCTCCCTGTCTCTCTCTCTCCCCGTGTCTCTCTGTCTCTGTCTCTCTCTGTCGGTCTGTCTCTCTATCTCTGTCTCTCTCTCTGTCGGTCTGTCTCTGTCAGTCTCAATTCAATTTGCTTTATTGGCATGACGTAACAATGTACAAATTGCCAAAGCTTACTTTGGATATTTACACTATTAACATAATTAAAATAATAAAAATCAATATTGTCAACGGGACAAC